AGAAATTTAGAAATCTAACCATATACAGCATTGTAGCAGGACAGTCCTGTGACATTTTTTTCCCTTGTGTCTTTTTCATTTATTATCCTTTTCTTTTTTTTTTTAAAAAGCAACAAACCAACATTTACTTGAGAGACAATATGGTAATAATTGGTATGTCATGACAAGAAGTATGTATTTAGAAGACCAGAATGACAGGCATTCCAAGTATGACCCTTCTATTACACATTGCTATCTTCAGTGCAGTTGCTTGGTTCACAGGTATCAGCATATATAGTTAGTTAGGGTGAGAATCCTACCAATTAACTGGTAGTTTCAAAAACCTGCTGGTGTTTCTCAGGATCATTGCTTTACCCATCCTGTGTGTATAAATGTATGACTTTGCCCCTGTCATGTTTCCTAGCTTTTCTCCTTGCCTTCTCCTTGTTGTTCAATCCTCAAGTTCTTGCTTTCCTTTTAATTGTGTCATACCTTTCTATTTGTACTTCTTCTTTTGAGTTCTTATACTAGGGAGACTATATGATATTTACACATGTTGGTCTGATTTATTTCACTTAACAGTATAAGGGCAAGCAATTAAACACAGGAGATAATGGTGTTTGTAAATAGGATCTCAAGTCTGCATCTTGTACAGCAATTAACCACTAAGAAGAATATATGCAGTGTGTTATTTGTTGAAACTGTACTTCGATTTGATTTGAAACTGTCTCATTGCTATCTGTTTATCAATAAAATTTTGAAAAAAAATAAAAAAAGTAAACACATTAGAAAAAGAGGTATACAAGGGCAGGTAAATAACATGTCATTCATAAGACAATACATCTCAATTATAACCATCAGTGTAAATGGACTCAATTCACTAATTAAAAGAAATAGACTGGCAGAGTGGATTAGGAAGCAAAATTCAACAATATGCTGTACAAGACTTCATCTATCAATTGATTGGTTTATCTTCAAAGTTTTGTCCAGCTGGTAATTTCAATAGTTCTATGATTTGTGCCTCAGAAACACAATGGTTTTCATGAATCATGAATAATGCTTTGTCCTAGCTTTATGGCTTATTGACTGAGAAATAAATTTTCTGCAAGATTAGAATTCTGTGTATATACTGCCAAAGTTTTTATCAATTTGAATATGGGGAAATTAGAGAAAAGCATGTACTAAAAAACGAAAAGGTATTCTATACTATACATCTTAGTTTTGGAATACATCTATAAAATAAACGTGTGTACATTGTTCTCAAATTATGTAATTATTTTAAAGAAAAAGTTATTTAAATCACATTCCTATTGTTAAATGATAAATTCTCTTCTAATTCTAGAGAAGTATATAAGAAATCTTATTGGTAAATATAATTTTTGTGTTATGTTCTAGATATTTCTTTAAAATCGGTATTTATTTATTTATTTATTCAAAACAACATTTTAGGAGAGTAACAATGGTTAGTACATTGTGTATTGTTACTGCCAAAGTAGTTTCACATATTACAAGATATAGGCAAGAAATAATAAATAAACAACATAGGTACAAACTTCTTTTTTTTTAAAAGTCAACAGAAAATGGAAATATA